ACCCCCCGCCTGTCCCCCTCAGAGCCCCCCCGGCCCGGGCGCGTCCCCCTCCGGTCCCCTCAGAGCCCCCCGCCCCGGCCCCGCGGCGGGATGGGGGACGACACCAGCCCCCTCAGCGTGATCCTCGTGAGCTCGGGGAGCAGGGGCAATAAGCTGCTGTTCAGGTACCCCTTCCAGAGGAGCCGGGAGCACCCCGCGGCCCAGACAAGTAAGTGGGCGCGGGCCGAGCCCCCGTGTCCCGCCGCGCCGGACGCCCGCTCCTGTGGGGACTCGGGACGTCTAGGAAAGTGACCGGAGATGGGCGGCACTCGTGGCCAGCGCGCCGAGGCCGCTGTCGAGAAACACCAGCGTGCGCGGAAACGGGACGGGACGGGACGCGTCCGGGGGTCTCTTTAGCCCCCCGCAGGCAGCCCTGAGCGCCCGAGTGGCCGTCCCTCCTGCGCACGTCTGAGGGAGAACGGCGTGTCGCTGGGGGCTTTCCTCCGGGGACGTCCGTCCGCCGGGGCGCCCCCCGCTCCGAGTGGTGGCCCTGCCCCGGCGCACGGACGCCTCGGGTGCTCGCAGTTTCTCACTACCGTGAATCTTCAGTCTCTAGTTTATATTTTGTTTTAAGATTACTTTTGAGTTTGTTCACGGGGTACAAAGTGGTTCAGATTACGAAGAGAGAGTTCCCTCCCACCGTTGACCCCAGCCCCACTGCCCTCCTGGGGCGGCTGCTGTCACCCTCCCCTGCGCTCCTTCCGGATGGTCCGTGTAAATCCAGGCACATGGATGCGCTGGTCTGGTTTCTAAGCACACCTGTGTCTCCTGCACATGCTGCTCCGCCCTGTTTCCTTTTCTCTTTACGTGGGATCCAGATTCAGGGTTCGATGCAGATTCGGGGTTCCAATCAGGGTCGTGGAGTGAACACACTGATTTAGCCGTCTGTCCTCTGTCGATGCGCGTCTCAGTCGCTTCCGGTCTCTGGCTGATAGAACAACCTGAATGTCCTTTCTGGATACATTATCATTTTGCAGAATGGGATCGATTCCCAGAAGTGGGATGGTTAGATGTCAGGGATAACGAGCATGGATATTTTTGATAGGTCAGATTTTTCTGTCTTTGTTAGTGAGATGGGTGAAAAATTGTATCTGAGAGTGGTTTTAATGTGCATTTGTCTTATGATTGGGGGTAAGCATGTTTTCCTGTTTCCAGAGCCATTTGGATTTCCTTCTTAGTGAACGATCTATTCATAACCTTTGCCTAATTTTCTCTTGGGTTGTTTGATTTTTGTCTTTATAGATTTGAAGGAGCTCTTTATATATTTAGGATAAAAATAGGCCTTTGTGACAAAGCTGTACATACTAAGCCAGTTTGCCTCTGTGTAGTTCTTGCCACATAGAGGTTTTTTTTTTTGTTTTTTTTTTTTGGTGAGGAAGATCAGCCCTGAGCTAACATCCATGCTAATCCTCCTCTTTTTGCTGGGGAAGACTGGCCCTGGGCTAACATCTATTGCCAATCTTCCTCCTTTTTTCTTCCTCCTTTTTTTTTTTTTT